ATGAACTGTTCTACTTTCTTTACTATGGTTTTATTGCCTCTGGTGACAGCTATTAAACCTTAGTAACAGTTCCATCTATAGCAGTCCCTCCAAAATACACTGTAGAGATGGTTTGTGGAGCTAAATTCTCTCAGCTTTAGCTTATCTGGAAATTGTTTAATCCTGCCTTCAAATTTAAATGATAATCTTGCCAGATAAAGTAATCTTGGTTCGAGGCCCTTCTGCTTCATTGTATTAAATACATCATGTTACTCTCTTTTGGCCTGTAAGGTTTCTGCTGAGAAGTCTGATGATAGCCTGATGTGCTTTACTTTCTATGTGATCTTATTTCTCTCTCTTGCTTTTAATAGTCTGACTTTATCCTTGGTTATTTGCCATTTTAATCACTATATGCCTTGGTGTCATCTTCCTTGGGTCCCTTGTGTTGTGAGATCTGTGCACCTCCATGGCCTGAGAGACTATCTCCTTCCCCAGATTGGGGAAGTTTTCAGCAATTACCTCCTCAAAGACACTTTCTACCCTTTTTTTTTCTCTCTTCTTCTTCTGGTGCCCCTATAATGCGAATATTGTTGTGTTTGGATTGGTCACACAGTTCTCTCAATATTCTTTCATTCTTAGAGATCCTTTTTGCTCTCTGTGCCTCAGCTTCTTGTATTCATCTTCTCTAATTTCTATTTCATTTATCGTCTCCTCCACTGTATCTGATCTGCTTTTAAAACTTTCCATTGGTGCCTGCGGGGCTAGAAAGAGCTGCTTCCTGCTTCCCAGCTGTTCTGCCTGTCTCCACTGCCAGAACCAGTGGGCGGAGCCCACAGGTATAAGCCTTTATACTTTGCATTTGTAGTTGCTGTAGACAGGTCTTCCCTCTGGCTGGCCTAATGCCAGGGTAGGGTTTGCCGGTTTGTGAGCCAGGTGGGGCTGGCCGGGAGAAAGGCGCAGTAGGCTGCATATCACGGAGGGGGTCTTTGGAGCTGTGCAGTCAGCCAGGGAGCTGGAGCACCTGAAGATCATGAATGTTCCCAACCTGCTGGGCAGAGTGCCCCTGGGCAATTTTGTCTACCAGTCTTTTCTCCTGAGCAGTAAGCTCCGTGCAATCCTTGCCCCTTTAGCAGCCCTCTTGCTGTTAGGAGGTCTCTTAGACTACCTGCCTTTCTTTTGTCCCAGAGCAGCAGGATATAGATCCCTGCTTTCCACAAGTGGCTGGAATCTTAGTCTCTCCAGGAATTCTGCTTGTCTTACCTTTCCAACCCCCTAATCATGAGAGTACCATGCAAGGACCATGAAATGCATGTTTGTGCTCCCAGAGCAGTTCTCCAGAGTTAGGTATTCAGCAGTCCCAGGCCTCCAGTCCCTCCCCACTCCATTTCTCTTCCTCCCACCATTGAGCTAGGGTGGGGGAAAGACTTGGGTCCTGCAGAGCCATGACTTTGGTATATTACCCTATTCCATGAGGTTTATTCTTTTCTCCAGGTTTATGCAGTTTGGAGCAGTCCTCTTTCCTGTTGCTCTTTCAGGATTAGTTGTATTAATTATATTTTCATATTATATGCAGTTTTAGGAGGAAGCCTCTGTCTCACCTCTTACGCCCCATCTTTAATCCTCCTCTTGTCATGTGTTACTCTTGACATTTGTATTTCTCAAGGTAAATAGCTGAGTCAGCATTTTGTTGGGGCTACTATTTTGGTTTCATGAGCTTGATGAGTATGCGGATGAATCTCAGAGTGGGGGCCATGACCAATGTCCAGACAAATCACATTCCTGGGTCTGCCATGTGAAGCCTAGGCCTTGTTTGATGACACTGTTGCCCAGTCCTTCTCAACTCTGACAAAAATTTAACCCCTTGCCTGGGTTGTGACATCATTTTCCTAACAGATTTCCCATTTTCCTGCCTCTCATTTCTTTCCCCTCTATTCCATCCTGTACCTAAATGCAAATGCTTCTTTCTCCACATTTGCATTTTATCATGTTGCCTACTCAAGAAACTATGTAACTACCTATTGCTCACCAAAAGAATTTGAACAGGCATGTAAAAGATCCCCACCAAAGGATGTTTTATCTCATCTCATCTGTCAAACTACCAGAAATGTTACAGTCAGAGTTTCATTCCTTTTAATTTAAAGCCCAGAATTTTGGAATTCTCTTTTAACCTCCACTCATTTTTATGAGAAGTCACACATCATTCTTACTTTTGTTCCTTTGTACATAAATGTGCTTTTTTCCTCTGGCTACTTTTTAATTTTTCTCCTTATTTCTTGTTTCAGTATTTAGCCTAAGATGTGCCTATGTTTGGCTTCCTTTGTATTTATACTGCTTAGGGATCACTGAGCTTCCTGAATATGTGGATTGTTGATTTTTATTAAATGTAGAAAAGTTTGGTCAGTATTTCTTCAAATAATTCTCATGCACCATTGTCTCTCTCCTCTCCATCTGAGACTCATTTATGCTAGACTGACACCATCCTACAGGTCACTGTAATGCAGTTAACTCTTTTTTCAAATTTTGTCTACTCTATTTTTTAGTTTAGGTGATTTTATTGTCCTATCCTCAACTTCACTGACTCTTCTGTTGGATGCAATCTACTGCCAAAGCCAGTTAGCGAATTAAAAAAATTTTTGATACGGTTTTTTTTAAGTTCTATAATTTTTAGTTGGCTCTTTTTTTGGTTTAAGAATCTCTACTGAAACTCCCTATTTTTCCACCATTTATCCATTTTTTTCCTGTAAATTCTTTAATGTATTTATCATAGTAATTTAAAAATCCATGTCTGCTTATTACAACTTCTGGATCATCTGTGGGTCTGTTTATATAGACTGATTTTTTTTCCACATATTCCTAGTTAGTTTTTTTCCTCACATATCTAGTAATTTTTGATTATATACTGTGTGATATATTATACAGATTCTTGATTTGCTTATCTTCCTCTGAAGATTGTTGAGTTTTGCTTTGATTGGCAATTAAATTACTGGTGGATCACCTTGATCTTTTGTGCTTCATTAAGGAATGTCTTAGTTTTGCCTTTTATCGTTGGATAAGTCCTTAACCCTGGCATATGGCATTTATTACAAAGATATAGCCCTGATATGGCATTTATTACAAAGATATAGCCCTGATGGAATTACAGTGTAAAGTCTGAGGTGTTTTTCCAAGCTCTTCTAAGCAGAGAAACTCTGAACTGTTCTCTGCAGTGGGCTAGTTAGCTAGTGTGATTCCCCTGTTTCATGGGCCAAATTTCCTCCAGTTTCTTTTTGCTTTTGGTCACTGTCCAGTGCCTCCAAATAGTCATTTCATGTGTCGTTCAGAGTTTATAGTTGTTATATGGTTAGTACCATATGAGCTACGCCATCATAACTAGAAGTCCTGAGCCTCCTCTTTGCCATTGTAAACTATCCCTACACAGGTTAATGCATGAAGCTCTTATTGCCCATTTTTTAAGAGTTTTTAAGACAGAGGTTGGGGTTCTCTTTGATTGATTGAACATGGCCACTTATCCCCAGTGACCAGCTACTCCCTGCCTGTCTCATCTGCTCACCTGTAGTAACTATTTTGGCACAACATGAGCTTGTGGGGATAATGCTTTAAAAGTGATGTGACTGGCTTTATATTATTATAGTGACTGATCAACAACCATGAGGTTGACTGGGTGAGCATCACAAATATACAGTATGCTCATGGAACTCTTTGGGAGGCCAGAGAGTGTAACCGTTTGGAACAAATGCTTTGGTGTTACACACCCTAAGTTTGATTTTAGGCAATTTCCTTACACCCATGAGTCTCCATTCTGTCATTGTAAAATGGGGATATTATCTTACAGAGTCATTGTGAGAATTATATAAACTGATATATATATATATAGAAATATCTTAGCCTAGTACCTGGTAAGTGTTCATTAAATAATTATTAAAACCTTGAAGAGTCAAGAAAATATCTTTGCTATCACTACACTGTTAGAGAGGGTGAAAGCAGCAAATTCAGGACAAATTTTCCCTAGATCACTATTTCTCAGAACATAATCAGCAGCCCCCCTGCAACAGGATGATCTGAGATTGCTTATTAATAAGGCAGACTTCCTGGCTCCCATCTCAGAACTAGCAAACTGAAATTGGCAGGGGTGGGGTCTATGACTATGAATTCCTAATTAGCTCCCTAAATAATTCTTACACTCACTAAACTTTGAAAACTACTGGATAATTCAGAGGCAAAGAGAAGTTTCTTGGGGGTAGAGAGACTTCAGGACTTTGAACTCCCACCTTACCATCCAAAAGTCTATATTTTATTGCCTTTCTGGCATTGATGTCTATAAACTTATTATTTTAGACAGACACTGAAAGTTTTTAGTCATCCTTAAGTGTCTGGCTGGAGGGCAATCAGAAGAGTGATTAAATCTAAAAAGGTTATAATTCATCCTTCATATTCATGGTTAAAGGCATTCTGCTGCATAGCTTTTCACCTGTGAAGTACTCCAGAGCTTTAAATCATCTTTTACTAAGTAGAAACCCCAGCTTTTTAGAAGAATAGATATAGTTTTTAATCCTTCCTTTCTCTTTAAACAAACATGTTAAAACAATTAAATTTGGGATTGCAGTTTTCATTTCCTTTTTATTGTGGAATCATGACAGGTTTTATAACCTACTTAATATTGCATCTTACAGCATATGGTAATTACAAGGATCATAGATATAGTTGAGCATGGTTTCTAAAATGTGTGTTTTTTTTAAATTAAAACTCAAATCTCAAAAACTGAGTATTTTGAAAGTAAAACTCAAAAAACCTATCTTCAGTAAACATTAGGCTAAGACAGTGTCACCAAAAGCAGAGGGAGAAGAGGTAAGGATAGGGACTCACCAGGGTGAGTCTTAGGTATCCAGTACATTGCCTGTCACTTAATCAGTACTCACTAGAAACTTACTGCATGCATGAATGAATGAATAAATGCACACTATGCACTTTCTATTTGGGACTGATGGAGTCCTGGAGGTGAATGGGTATGTTCTGTCTTACAGAAATCCTCTCCTCATAGCTTCTCCACTTTCAACCTGATGTACTGGGATGGAAAAACTTGTACAAGTGCCAATTGCAGAAGCTGCTGAATGTCTGTCAGGCTGGGACAGAGTCAGGTATGATCATTCTACAGGCAACCTGCCTGTGTCTCCCTCTGTGGGCATGCTTCTTTCTATTGTACCCTTTATCCCACAGTCCACTTTCCAGAATTTTCCACAATATTCTTAGCTTACTCATCTATATTGCCTCCCAGGGTGCACTAAACTCAGGATCCTCCCCTATTGCCCTCCAAAGGGACCCTTCTGAAAATTTTACCAGACAAATGAGGAACAGAAAACTATAACCATGAAACAAACCCCTTTGATCTAGAAAAAATAAATCCAACATCCAGCAAAAATTGACAGACAATGACTCATGAACAGCAGTGGTGGTGCTATGGATTTGCTTGCTGGCTGTTTCACTTGCTGAGGGAATTGTTTTAATTTTGCAGACCTGGAGAAACATACTCTATCAATGTTTTTCCCATTGCGTGTGGCTTGATGGTTCTCCTGACTTACTGCAATCATATGCGTGAAACTCTGGGAGTTTCAGCTATTTTGTGACACAGAGCCTAATTTTTTTCATTCTAAAAGCTTACCCTCTATTGAAAGAATTTTAGGGTATTGTCCTCATATAGTATCGATATTTATAATAAGCTATGTTTTGTTCACAAAAAGATTTGTTATAAGTGTAAGGGGCATCCCATCCATGTTTAATGTGCTTACTGCTTTTAAAGATCAATTTATGTTTGATTTAAAAAAAACAGCAAATCTACAGTTCTGTATAAGGCAAGTATTCACACTATAAAAATGCATAGAGGAAGAGGAAACAAAGTGGCAATTAACGCAGCACATGAACAAGCTGAAAGCTGATCTTAGATGAATGGTTTGTGCTGGTGGGCCAGGGATGAGAGTACAGAACAGCTTGATGGTGATTGTTAAGGATTACTAGATTGCAGTGGACACTAATAACAAGGTTCTTCTCATATCCCCTCACTCACAGTACCTGTAGTGTGTTGAATATTGGGTCCTAAAATATATGTCCATGTCCTAACCCCCAGAATTTGTGAATGTGAACTTGTTTGGGAAGTGAGTTTTTGCAGATGTAATTAAGTGAAGGATCATGGAACTGAAGGTGATGTGAAGACAGAAGAAGAAACTAGAGTGATGTAACCATAAGCCAAGGAACACCAAAGAATACCTAGAGCCACCAGAAGCTGAAAGAGGCAAGGAAGAAATCTCCTCAGAACCTTCAGAGGGAGTGTGGCCCTAATGACACCTTGATTTTAGACTTCTGGCCTCCAGAATTGCAAAAGAATCCATTCCTGTTGTGTTTAAGTCATGTAGTCTGTGGTAATTTGTTATGGCAGTTCTAAACCAATACACCATGTCAGTGCACACTGGCCAGCTGGACTGCCAACTGCTAGAATATACATTTCTTTACAGAAGGCTTCCTCTGGCTGCTAAGTTGTACTCTGCCCACTTGTTGAGCAGGCTAAGCTAGTTGTGGCTACCTTAGAAGCTCTCAAGTAAAGACTGATGGGGGTGTATAAAGCCACCAGCCCCCTCACTCCTTGGGTGGGGTGACTCTGTGGCCAGCATCCTGTGCTGGCTCCTAGAATTTAGTTCCAGCTCTGCACAGTGCAAACTAGTGTATGAATTCTGTACTGACTTCCCTCCTTTCCCCAGTTTCAATTGTCCACTCCTAGTTTTTGCTGGAATTGTCTCCCAAATAAATTACTTCTACTTGAATGCTTGTCTCAGGGTCTGCTTCAGATGGGGATTCCAAAGTAAGACAAATATAAAGGAAATGACATTGTTTTAGTAGTTGTGAGAAGGTATTATCTCAGTGAGGTGATGTGTTGGGCATTTTCCTGGGCTGTTCCATGAAAGTTGTCTGATTCTAAGTATGTAGGTGTCCATAACAACCTTATGAAAAGGATTTGAAGTAGCACTTGAATTGTGATATTTAATATATCATTTCATATTCTTTTATTCTGTCCACTACAAAAAAACATTATGATGCCTTGACACATAATTGGTGCTCAACACCTACATATATGATAAATGAATGATTTACTTAATATATGCATATTTAGATACAATATTTCAGAAAGTTACCCATATATATATTATAAAAGTTATTTTAGGGACTATTTTGGAAAGGAATAAAACTTTTGTGTTTCCTTTCAAGTGAACACCTTTGACAGATACTGTTTTCTAGACATTTTCTAGACATTCAATGAAACATTTACTTTTAATTAGTATCCTCAAGTTCTTTATCATGTTTCAACTTTGAATTGTTCATCAGTCTATGTTTTAAGCAGATACATGATTAATAAGCTATATCTCTGCCCTCAAAGTAGAGGTCAGTGCCAATAAATGGCAAGTGGCCATTTTTATTTTATGCAAATTTGTTTTCCTCTTTGTTCACAATTAGATGCTCTTTTTTAGAGTGTTCAAAATTCCTTTCTTATCCTCATTGTCCAAGTCCAATTAGTTACTCCTTCTTCCATATACTGTTTTTGTGTGTGTGTAAAATTTGAAAAAAAACTATGATTGAATGATAAACAAAATATCAAAATTAATTTTCCAGGTATTATACTTCAACTTTCCCATTCTTTGTTTTAATTTAGTATGCCCTCTCCTTTTTTGGTTCCTGGACTCTTCCTTTGCTTTCATTTAAACAAGCAAACCAAAAATTCCCAATGGAGAAAAAGGGGTTTCCACATAATAATTTTCACCAAATGCAATGCTATCCTCATATTCAAAAATGCTTGCTTGATGCTGTCTTAAATGGTTAACATGTATCTCTGAATATTGGTAAAGAGTTTTTGAAGCCACTGACTTCACTGCTCTTTTTATCTCTTCTCAAAGCCCTGAGAAAATGACCCAAAGTTCAAGTAAACAAGTTGTAAACAATGGGTAATAGCAATATAGAATTTTTAAAAGAAAACCATTTTAGTGTAGACATGCCTGGTGTAGCCAAAGTGTTTTCATTTCACAAGTATGTAGAAATAGCTGCACATAGTCGTCTCTGTAGAAAATATATTTGACCTTTTAGAAAATACTGCCCACACCAGTGACTTTTTTTCCCTTATGAAAATAGAGGAAATTATGGCAAATTTCAAGTTAGCTGAAAAAGAGGACAACTAAGCTGTGGAAAAGTCTGCTGAAGGCATACAAACAAGAAATGAATATTTCCTTCATTGCAAAAGCAGCAGCCTCCCTGAAAATTATTACTTGTTTCTTAACAAAACACTTTTAGGCCCATGCCTTCCATCAAGAAATCTTTATTGGAAGTTTCTTAGATCTTCAGAATACAGTATATAATCCTTCCTGCTTCCATTTATTAAATTATTATCAAAAACACCATTCACTGGGAAAAAATAAACAAATTTTATATTAATATAACTAGATAGTATATTAACTTTAATCTTTAATAAAAATTTACAGAGCAGAACAAAAATGTGATAATGTTTCAATAACCCATTCTTATTGTCTGTGTTCACAGTGAACTGAATGCTGAATGCTTATCCCTGTTTTTCCCTAGCAGGAAACAAGGTATTTTTGTATCAAAATGAGGCCATTTGCTGACATGTGGATTTGCATGCAATTTTAAATACTGCTGAAAAGTGAACAGTCTGGGGACAAATACTGTATAAGAAACTAAATGGATATATTTTGCGTTGAAGTACAACATCCAGGAATTAAGGGACTTGTTGGTCCAAGGATGAAACCTGTTAAGGTTCCATTATTGTGTCAGTCTTTAAGGGGGGGAAAAACCCATTATCTAGATTTTATCATAAATACTGATGCAAGGAAGTTTTCTGTTGCGGTTATGAACTGAATTTAAAGGAGCAGCACGTGCTTTATTAATAACTTTCAGATTTTATATTACTTGATGCATCAATCTGTCCAGACATCACACAAATAAGAAGGGAAGCCTCAGTGTTTCTTTGCTACAGAAGCAACTATTTCACATGAAGTTTTTTTCATTTCTAGACTAATCTACAGTCAGTATGCTTTCCCCAAGGGCTTACTGTGATTTTTAATGGGATTTGGATGGCTTCTTTTTACATTTGTGATGCAATTTCAGGTGTAAGGACATAACACTTCTTCCCAATTATCTTTTGGAATGGTGAGGATGTACAGTCAATGATAATTTAATAATTCATAGACCACTCTGCAATGCATTGTATGGTATTCTTGCACAGATCTGCTTAATCCTGTTGCTTACTGCGGTAGGATCCTGACAGCTGTTTGCATTTTCTGAGTGGGCCTTGGGCACTGTTGGTGTGTGTGTAAAGGGTAGTAACCAACTAGACAGGCTGTGTGACACAGTGGTAAGAGAAAGCCAGTTCAGAAAGCTCTGGGGCCTCAGCAAAGTGGATTCTCAGGCTTTGACCGTGGGTTTGGGATATAAAGTCGCATTTAGCCATCTAGCCCAGCATTCGAGAATATTGGAAATATTTACTGTTCTTCACTCTGGGTCAGCTCAGTAGGAGCAGTGTGCTAACCAGACTTCTCTCCTAGTCAAACTAAACATGGGGCTGCTGGGCTCCACTCCATATTCACAGAACAAGGGGGAATCAGTGAGAAATCTCATAACAATATATCCTTGCACACAGTGGTCTGGTTTCAAAGTTTTTGCAAAGAAATTTAAAAAGATGGGCAGTCTCAGCTTCTTGCAGAAAAGGAGACCGAACCACCTTTCTTGGTGAGGTGGAGGCCTCAGGCAACCGAATGGACAGGTTGAGCTTTTACACGTGGCTGGATTGTTAGAGCTAGGTGCAAAGCAAGCTTCTTGTGAGCTCTCAAACCCAAATGCTGCATTTTGAATGAAATAGGGTATCAAGAGCCAGTGAACTGGGACTCACTGTCGCCCAGGTCTGAATGGGATGTTTTCAAGGATTCTCTCACTGTTTGTCACTCCTCAGAATGTTCATGAAGAAGGAAAACACTGAACAGAAGAGTCAGGCACTCTTGTACATGGAGTAGGCTTTAGGAGATTACAGTGCAAGCCATCCATCCTTGTCAGCCTGTAGAAAAGAGTGGTGGGGTGGAGACAGCCTTGT